ATAGTTCTGCCAGAGTCCAAACAATTAAACAACCTGTTGGAAATTGTCATTATTGCGCGTGGCCAGGTCCAAACTGGCAACCTGAGGATCTGTCAAGCTGGGGCGATTCTAAGCGTGAATAGAGTGATTTGATGAGCAAACAAAAACAAAAAGAAGGAAGGAAGAAGGAGTGAAACAATTAACAATTACAGCAGACAGTGGGAAATTCCGCGTTATTACTACAACTCCCGTAACAACAAGCGATGAAAATGTGGTTTCAGCTATTTAGGAATGAGTAAAACCGTTAGCAGGACACTCGGCTTCCTTCTCCAGTGGTTTTTAAACTCGTTCTGTCACGCGTGTGATCTCTCTCTCTCTCTCTCTCTCTCTCTCTCTCTCTCTCTCTCTCTCTCCCTCTCTGAAAGCTCCTTATCTGCCGGCCAGCAGAGGCTTATCTCGGAGGTGTAGCGTGTCTCTAAATACGGGGAACACCCTGAAGTGACTTTATCAGTCGGTGCCCGCCGTTGTCGTGTGCCTTGTCCTCCTGTACCCTCTGTCACATCCCCACCGTGAACTCGGGGCCAAAAGCTTTCACACGGTACACAAGGTCCCACGCTGATCTGCCCGAGAAACGGGTCTCTCTCCCCGCTCTGAATAAGAAACTTGCCCCCTCTCCGCGTGGCTCAAGTTCATGCACCCACGCAATTAACTTCACACATAACCGGCGCCGTCACTCTGTCCGAGTGTCAGGTGAAACTGAAACTCGTGTTTTCCCAGAAAGTTCAGATGCACTGTACAAAAAGAAAAAACGCAAAAAGCCACGTAAAGAAAAAGATGAAGGGGGTGGAAGGAGACTTACGGACTAACTTCTTATCTCGTGGGCCGTCCCGGGACGCTGTCCTGTCCGGTTGTATTGTCTCGGTGGATCTGTGTGTTGGTGCTGCGGGTCTATTTTCATTTATGGCTCACGGGTGTTTCTAGGAGCAGTCTGCGTGACCCCGGAACAGCTCAGGCCCTGAGGACGGGGTTTCTCGCCTCGGTGGTCTGTTTTTCTATCGGTTGTATTCCAGAGCGAGTGGGGAAACGCAGGGGCACCATCACAGTCTTGGCCACGGACGGAACAGTACACTGTGGATGTGCGGCGAGCCCGTGAACGCGCACGAGGACCACAGAGGTCCGGCAGTAGTACCCGACGCGTTCGCGTTGACAGACGAGAGGGCCACCGCTGTGGCCGGAGAGGAAAATGCTGAAACTGCAGCAGCCCGCATCCTCCAGCCGACCTGAGCGATGGGCTGACTTTAAGAGCGGCTTTATTTCTGTGAAGTGTTCTGGAAATGCTGCTTTCAAGTTCACGTTTGGGGCTCTTGAGAATTATCACTCAAGATAATGAGCTCAAAAACTTCTTATGCAAAGTTTTTGAACTCTCGACCTCTTTCTAAATGTCTTTTAATGAGCTCTAAGCCTATAGAACAATTTTCTGGTGCTACAGAACCGCTAATCCATTTCTGTTAATGGTGCGTGACAGGGATGTAGTGGTGGGTGAAGTTTAGCCTGCTTTTCTTGCACGATTTCATCCTTTATGTCTGGAAATAACCTTGAATCTGGATTACACAAACTAAAGGAAGAAGGTGGAAATGCGCTGAAAAATATTGGAAAATGTGTGTTTTGGCATTTTCTAAATAATTTTTTTCTTTATTGTTAATTTTATATAATATCTAAATATGTATGTTCCGTTTAGGCTCTCCTCACAAGCACGCGGTTTTACAGTGGCTGTTATAAATATAATTACAGGTGAAAACGATTTGCAGTATTATCATAATACAAACAGTGTGAAAACAACTGTAATAGACGGCGAGCTCCTGACAAAGCTTACTATCACTTAATTACAAACCTATTGCAATCTAATTCTGTGACTGGATCTAAATCTGAGTCATTTATGACAAATAAAAATGACTACGGAACTTTTTCCCTATAAGCTCTACAGCACCAAACTTTTCTAAAAGCCCGGAGTTACTTTTTCAGGTGATGCGGTCCAATCACAGCCCTGCTGTGGGGTTTAAGCACAGTCCTGCAGCCCGAGTCTGCGGCTGTCATCGCGGTTTGTTGTGGAGAAGAGATAAGCGGAGTGCGCACGGACTTTTCAAAACGAGCAGCCCCGGTGGTGGCGCGGGCTGACCGTCCCGGCGCCTCCACGCAGATGCAGCAGGACGGGTCTTACCTGGATTCAGTCGTTCGTCATGCGCTGTGTGCTTCTTGCAAACTTGACGACTCTTTGGGGGGAGCGACGCTGACAGAGTTTTCGGCGGCGAGAACAGGAGTCAGTGCAAACAGCTTCCAAATCCCGTGCGTAAAGTCACCATCGCTGGAGCCTGTCGCGGACTTTGGTAACTCCGTGTTTGCGCTCCGCCGAGGATCAGAAAGTACACCGGGACACTTCGGCGTCGTCGTCAGAAGTTGCGCTGAGTCACACCGGAGGTCACCCGGAGGATTCTTTTTAATCAAAAGTATTTCAGGTTATTTCCCGGCCGGCGCTGTGTGGCGGCTTAAGTGAGAGTGCGGGGCACTGTCGGGTGAAGAGGCAGAGGCTGGATAACCCCTCCTCTCTCTCCCTCTGTCTCTCTCTCTCCTTTCCTCTCTCTCCCTCGGCTATTTATCCGTCTCTGTCCGCCTGTGTCACTTTCTTTGTTTATGTTTGATGAAACGTAAACCATTCTATATTTTTCTTGTTCACTCCTGTACAGGTACTTTTCCCCCCTGACTTTTCTTGTCACCCGTGTCCCAGCCTTTCCTCTCAGTGTGTGTGTGCAGCCTTTGAGCGCACGTGCGTGCATGCTCGCACCAGGCTGCCGGTCAACAACTCACGATCACCCGCGCGATTAAAAAAGGAATAAAATTGCGATTTGATTTCTTTGATTCCTCCGTGATTTTATTCCCCTTGCAAACTTTTTTTCTTTTTTTGTATCAGAAATCACCCAGAACTAAAACTCACGCAGTGATTAGGCTAAGCTGCTTGTTTTATATGGATTAAAAAATATATATTGATCCAAAAATGGGATGGGGGACATTTTAGTAAATAAATACCAATGAAAGTTTTTTACTCTGTTTTGCAATAACACGAACATATATATGTATATATAATTTTTTTTTTAAATCAATGTATACATTATTTTATATACTATATATAAAATCAATTTGAACATCAAATTGTGCATATTAATATTTCTCTCTTGTGTGTTTGTTTTTTGTTTAGTTGTTTTGTTTGTTTGTTTTTAAATAATAAAAGAGATCTGTAAATCAGGATCCGGCCTATTCTTCATTTTCCTAAAGAAAAAAAATATTTGATGTAAATTAATACATGAGGGGGATGAGATTGGTGGATGCAGCGTTTTAAGCCCATTTACATGAACGAGTTTCCCGTTTAATACTTCGTTGATTGTCCTTCGCAAAAATGAAGTGTGAGGTCCTGTCAGAGGTGTGAGCGCCTCTGGGCTGGGTCTTCATAATATTTACTCTCGCGCCACCTTTTGGCGGGTTTAGTGAAGGTCGATCATCCTAAACGTAATTTTAAACCAAACGTGCCCCCACAAAGGCGGCTTTGAAAACAGCTACATATAAATATGTGACGGTAGAAAAATATCTTTCAAGCTTTAGTTTAAAGAGATTCCAAGGGAAATGACTAATCAGATAAAAAACATAAATATGTTAGAAACCACTCAGTGTGAGCTTTATTTTATATCTGGCCTAAAATTAACAGCATTGGTAATTACCATAATAGTTTGTTTTTTTTATGTTAGTGGATAGTTAATCCAATAGTATGCCCTTTAATCAAAACGATATGTTTAATGTTAAAATAACTATTGCTGTTGTAGTCCATGAAATTTCAAAGTTTGAAATTTCAAAAAGCAGAAAAATAGCAAAACACTTTGGGGTTTTTATTTATTGTTAAGATCGCAAAATACAGGTATTTACTTTCATTGATGAATAGAAAAAAAATGTTCCAGTTTTTGAATGTTTATTTAATTTCTGACTTCATCTGACTCCAGCTTGTCCAAATTTAATTATAAAATACAATTATAATACAACAAAAACTTTATGTTGAGCGGATTTTTTTTATCATTATTATTATTATTATTATTATTATTATTATTATTATTATTACTATTATTATTATTATTACTATTATTATTATTATTATTATCATTATTATTATTATTATTATTGGTATTATTATTATTATTATTTCAATGCTCCTTGGCATTAAATAATCAAATACAGTTGGAAAGCCTGTTTATTTCCACTGCATTTGTGGGTTGAGCAGCAGAGTTGAGTAGCTGGGTTGTGTCCCTGAAAACCTTGCCATAGGCCAACTTCTG